ATAGGCGAAAACGCCTAAATTCGCAAATAAATTATTTGGTAGGGTTTTCATATATAAAATCTCGCTGGAATACTTGCTTGAATAAGATACTTTCTTATTCCGACTATAAGTAAAGTGTAATAAGAAGGGAACCGGCTATTACTTGAATCTTTTAGGAAACTTAATAAAAGACTCTAGTTTATCTTCTAATAATATATTAGTAATATCTTATACTATAGCTTCTTCTAACTTATCTAGTTATATCGGGATTTATTTCTTATATCTTTTTTAATAATAAAGTTATTAGCCTATTTATTTATCTGGCCGGTCTAGAGCTTTTTTTTATTTTAATATTAGTTAACTAATATAGAAATAGCTATAATATATTATATTTATATTTATTAAAAACTAATTAGATAGATATTATTTAAATCTTTTATAGAATTAAAAAGTAAATAAGCTTTAAATTATATTATAAATATAAGATTTAAAGCCTAGAAAACAAAGTTATATTATTTCTATTCTAATAATTTAAAGCTAAAAAAAGAAGAGGATCTCGAAGAAGCCTCGAATCTAAATAATTATAAGCTATGTATAGGCCTATATATTAGTTTAAACTCGGGGTTATATATAACTATTAGATAATTATAAATATTAGATATTTTATTTAAATACTAAATACTTTACTAGTTCTAGTCTAATTTCTACTAATACTATATATTATAATAACTATAATAATTATAATAAGTTTATTATAAAGCTTAAAATTATTTAGAACTAGTAATTAAATATCTAGAAATTCTAGTATTAATTATAATTTTATAAAAGTAATAAATATTATATTTTAATATACTATTAATTATAAAAGTCTAAATATTTTGTATTAAAGATTTAATAAATTCTAAAATATAGTTTTTATTTATTATCTAATATATAAAAAAAATTATAAATTTTTTTTTTATAAGAATATTAGCTATAATTATTAGTAAAACAGAAATAATAAAAGTAGCTAAAAAGCTTTTAATTAAAATAAAATAAAAATCTAAATAATATTTCTTTTCTTTATTTATTTTTATTAATAAAGTTTTAAAAATATTATTTATTAGTTTGTGTTTATTATTCTTATTATTTTCTTTTATTTTAGCTTTAATAATATATTATATATAAATATTACTAAAGTATTTCGAGATTTAAACTAATAAATATTTCTATTTCTAAATTAAGTTTTTTTAGTTTCTTATTTCTCTAATATATATTTCTATAAATAATATTCGGGTTTCTTATATATAAAATATAATTTCGAGATATAGTTATTATATATTTCAGAATTATAGCTAGATTATATTAATAATTTCTAGTAAAATAATAGCTTAAAAAGTTTTAAAAATAGTATTATTAATTAGTAAAAAAGATTTCGAAATTAGCTTATTATTTACTTTTATATATAATAATAAATAACTAAAGCTTATTAATAAATTAGCTAAGATTTATAAAAGAATTTAAAAGTATATATTTATATATTTAGAAACTTTAATAAAAAGTAATAATTTTATTATAAAAGAATTCAATATTTTATAAATTAGATATTATAATTAATATAATTCATTAATTAGTAATTAAATAGTTTTAAATATTATTTTCTCCGGAAATTTAGCTATTATAAAAGCTAATATAATAGTATTATATTTATTTAAATTTTAATATTTAAATTTAGGGCTTTTAAAAAAAGTTATAAATATTAATATAAATATTTATATATATATATATTAAAAGAGCTAGTTATTATAAAAATAGTTTTAAGCGAATTTCTTTAATATAATAGAAAAGGCTTATATTAGTATCTTTTATAAAAGTTTTATATATTAATAGATATTAAAAAAAATAGTAAGTTTATAATTAAAATCATTATTAAATCTATTATATTTTTACTTTCTAATATAAATTTTAATAATTTCTTTAATAAGTTTTATAATTAAAAATAAAGAAAATAATTAAGAAATATTCGAAAATAATTATAATAATAATAATAGAACTAGTAAATATATATTATTTATTTCTAAAACTTTTATATTAATATATAAATCTAATAAAAATATAAAATATAAGAATAAAAAAGAATATAAAAATATTAAAAATAATAAATTCTAAATATTTGTTTTTTATAAAAGTAATAAAGCCTAATAAAATTAGTTTCTTTATAAAATCTAATTTAGCTATTAATAAATCTTTATTTATTTAGATATATTATATATTTTTCTTAATAATAAAAAATAAAATAGTTATAATAATAAGAATACTAGTATTTTATTATATATATATATATATTACTATATTAAAAAATCTTATATAGATATAATATTTCCTGGAATTTAAGCTTATTAAAGTTATTTTTAATAAATAAAGTTTTTAAAATTATATTTAAATAGTTTCTAAAAATTATTATTAATTATTTTATAGAAAATATATTAAAATAGCTTAGTATCTAAAAACTCAAATATCTCTTATATTATAATAATATCTAGATTAATTTTATATTTTTATTTTATTATTATTTTCTTAAAATAATTAAATTAAATAAATTTAATAAAGAAATTATTTATTATATATTTTATAAGCTTATATCTAGTTTAAAATATAATAATTTATAAAAAAAGTAAATTTATAGAAAAAAGAATAGTTTATAAAATAAATAAATAGAAGTTATTATATTTAAGATAAAAACTTCTTTTATAATATGAAATTTAAGAAATAAAATTTTGAAATTTTAAGAGAATTTAATAGTTCTAAAATTTAAGAACTTTAAATATTTAAATAATTATAGAAAAAGTATTTTTTTATAAAAAAGATAGTTTTATAGAATAATTAGATAATTAAATAGCTAATTATTTAGTAATTTATAAGAAATAATATCTTTTCTTTTTATAAAACTAAATTATAAATAAAAGTAATTATTATTTCTTTTCTTTAATATAATTTAGTTAGGTTTTAATAAAATTAAATATTTTTTCTTTTTTATAAAACCGAATTATAAATAAAAATAATTAATAGTTATTTACTTTTTAATATAAAATAATAGCTTTATTTCTAAAAAACCAAATTTCAAATAAATATAGCTTAATTCTTTTTATTATCTAATTTATATATATAAATAAATCTTATTCTAATCTAAATATAAATTAATTAGTATTAGTTTACTAGAAATATATAGTATTATTATATAATTATAAAATACTATTTATATAAATTAATAAAATAGTTATTATTTAGAAATAAGAATTATAATATTATATAATATTAATATATAATTTCTAAATTCACTTTTTTAGTTAAGGTAGTAGTGTTCTGACCCCCGAATCGGGGGGAGGGGGCTGTTTTTAGGGTGTCGGAACCCCAAAATTAAGCGAGCTAACCTCTGTCGGCGGTTCCTTGCCTCAACCATCGACAGCCAGAAAAGCCATAATCCAAAACAGCATTTCCTGTCACCTTTTGAAGACCCACCCACTAGGCAGCCATATATAGAGGCCCTTGTTCCCATCGCCATGGTCTCCCGAATAACTCTATTAGCTTTGTCAACTCTATTATCTTTATTACCTAAGCTACGCGAGGGCCCTTATAGTTTGCCCCTTCTTTTCCAAGGTCATCCACCCTTTCTCAGTGTCCTTTTCTCGTCGAAGCACCACTTCTTATAATCGGCAAAGCAGGCCTTAGCTTATATAGTTATTTATTACTCTCTAATCTCAATACCTAATCTTCTCTTATCCTCTATTCCTATAAACACGTTCGTCTCTTTATAGGCAAAGCAGATCTTAGCTCACAAAGTCCAGTTGTCCTCTATTACTCTCCTCTTTTATTAACGCCCCTTGCTGCCCCTCCAGAGTTAAGCCAAGGCCATAGACATAGCAGTTAACACCTTCTAGTAGCAACTATGAGCTGTGGCACGGGCCATTTTACGGCTCAAATAAGCTTAAATCGTATCACGTGTATATTATGCGTTACTTAAATACTCTTAAATTATGGCCTTATTAGTGCAAAAGTAAAGGAAAAAGGAGGAGTCTCTTTTAAAACATGCTTGTATATATATATCACGTGATTATTTTCATTGGGCAGCCATGGGGCGGGTCAAAAATAGGTACCCGTTTATAGATATAGGACCTGACCCGTCAGGTATCCATGGGTGGGTAGAAGAGTACTCTACCCGACCCACGGGTACCCATTGCGGCCCCTACTTGGGAAGGAGGGGTAGCTTCTTTTTGTATTGCTCGAATGACGTTAAACTAAGTCAGGACAAACGTCTTTTGAGGGGCAGGCCCTAACATCTTGTCCAGGTGGGGATTAGAACGTGTAAAGGTTCCCACTCGCTCATAATATCCCTCCCCCCTTTCCGCCAACTTCAATATCCGGCCATCAAATCGACCGTCGTGTCCCTTCAAAACTGGTAGGCAGAACGCTTCAATAATGCACATGTCTAATAGAGTATCGCTGGTGCAATCTGCATAGAGGCTTAGGTCCACTGGCTCTCGTGCAGCTCGTATAGAAGCAGATTCCCACCGGTTGATGTCATGGTTCTTGAAGATCCGTGGGAATTTCCTCGCAAACCAAATGTCAATGGGATTGAAGATGCGTGGGAGGCACTCTTTGAGTTAATTCCAGACACAGCTCCAGATACAGAGAGCAAACTGGTAAGGGATAAATCCTACGCACAGGAACGGAACCGCCATTGCCCAAAGTACGGTCCTCACTATGCTTGATCTCCAGATAGCGTTCAATGCTCGTTTGACCCTTTCAAATCTTTTTCGGGCTGCGGATTCGGACTTCAAGAGAATCGTGGAGGCTCTCCTCCGCAGTTTCAATGGGCCATTCCTGCTTTCTGATACAAGCTTCACTGGCGATAATTTCCCCGACAGCTTAAGGTTTGCCAGTGGAACCCTGGAAAGATGCCTTTGATGTTCTGGAAGCTCCGCTATTCCATGTACCTCAATCGTGATTGAAGGCGGTGGTGGGAAACTCCTCGTGGTGACTTCAATTTTTTTGAACTCGATTAGCCCATCCACGGAACCCCACGACCATGTAGGTGCCCTGTACTCCTGGGATCTTGGGGATTTGAGTGGTGAAATGCTCCATAATAGCGATAGCGGCAAGGTCTGATCGATCCATAAGCCGGCACAGTACTGTCTTTCCGTCACCAATGCAATTTGATCTGCTAATCCTTGCAAAGCAACCAACCTATCTGATATTCTTGTCAATTCCGCACTTGTGAATTCCTGAATAAAGGCAAACCATGCTGTATCCCATACAGAAATACTTCGATCTCGGTTTAGAAGAGCTTGGAGCCTAGATTTGTCGACTTCAAAAGACTCGAAACGATCAATATAGTTGTCACTCGTTTTTTCACAAGGCCAAGTCTCTGCCGCATGTAACTTCTGGCAAGCCCATAGCATCTGGGTTTCCCCAAACACCAACAAACGCGGCGATAGAGTACGTTCCTGAAAGACCCAACCACGGCTGTACCATGGAGACCCCTTCACCTCACGCCTATAGATTTCACCAAAATACTGCGAGCGTAGATAGAAAGACAAACTAGAATCGTGGTCGAAAGGATTCGGGACTTTACACGGGCGATATTTGAACTGATTTCGAGTGGTGAAGCAGCCATCGTCACCATCTCCACCAAGTGCAGCAGCAATCGTGCAAGTAGCCAGCCCATAAACCTTTGACATCGTTGCAGACTCCCGCTGCCAATCATCATTGTCATCTTGTATGATATAAAGACAATCTATCCACAGATATTGAAGCCCAATGCTCCTTGTAGTATGGAACGCATCCCAGGATGTTTTCGAAACCTGAGATGGACGGATTTCTGTCTCGTAACTTCGTAGCAAGGCGGATGTGAGCACAAAATCCTTGTCTTTCCCCCAGCGGTGGCTAAGGGCAGCATATAGAACCTTGCCTTGGAGACAAGATGTAGAAATAAGGCGCACGATAGGTGCGTCTAACGTTCCTAAAGCAAGTAATCGAGAAGGTGACCAGATTTCGTCTTTAAAGTCGGGACGGCATTAATGGTGATTTCTCAAGAAGTTATTCAGCCAAGTACTCGCAAGCTGGAGGTTTTCTGGTGACCCTGTGGAAGTGTCACGTGCTGTGCACAGGCGTGTATATAGCTTCTTCACCGCCATTAGGGCACCATCATTCATACATATTTACACCACACACACATACATTCCACTCCCACAGCTTGTCCAGGCCGTGACAGGAAGCCTGCTTATCGAGATTGACCTGCATCATATCTTCGAGATCATCTGTCGCCTATGTTAGCAGGCAGAAGAATCCAAAGACAGGGGGTTAAACTGGCCCCTCATAATATCAAGCGGTACTATAATGCGGGGGCCCGGGCAATAAAAGTCAATGACCATTCAGAAGGATTCCTGTCTAGCAAAAAGCTCTTCCGCTTCGTTTTCGAGTAGGCGAGCAAGCTGATTAACCGTTGGGTCGTTTTCCACAGCACTCAGATATCTTGACATGTAATCTACATCATCCTCCTCACCCCCATCAAAAGGTACAAGCCATTGTGAACCTTGTCCATGCCGTGCCCAGGTTGGATTCAAGACCTTGAAGGCATAAGTGCAGCCAATCGGAAAAGTGTCGTCGAATGCAGGGTAAGAGCTGCTGTAGCTCCTGTTCTCCCACACAATATTGCATAAGTGGCAGCCTGCTTCTCTTGATTCTGCAAAAGATTTACTATTGTGACCCCAAGGATAATATGTTCCATAGCCGAGCTTGCGAGGCTGGGCGAATACTGCCTGGCAAATATTGCAAAGCATGATGCCTCATCGAGAGTTGAATAGGGTGCTTTGTGCGTATGTTTCAGGTCTGAGATGGAATAGCCGCCATAGTGTTGCAGGAACTGGAAAGGATGAGGGTGGTAAGTTGAATGCAAATTTGGTGAGGCTGAGCTGAGGTTTATGCAGGTTGTGTGGTCTGTCTCCTAATCGGAATAATATTAGACCGTGGTAGCATTTTTTGTCTTACGTGATTCCCCCCACTGTATTGAGCATGCGGGGGTAGGGCTGCCTAGATACAACATCTCGACCCGCATTGAGCTGAGAACCCACACTCACACAGCATTCACAGACATACTGGGTCCCCTTTATATCTTCTCCTCATCTGCTAGGTTTTGTGCTGCCTGCGAATCTCTACCCCACGTCTCAAATTGTATCATGGCAAGCCTAGCTAAGCCATCTCGCAAAATCACTGGACGTCTTTGCGAGTGCTGCCGCGAGATCACGATTAAAACACTCGCCGCAGAAGAAGGCTATTCATACTTTTCTTCTCCTGCAGAAATGGCGAAACTGTACAACAAGTATGATTTTTGTGAGTATATGTTTAGGATGTGGGCCGTCGACTTTATCCAGGATTAGGCAGCGGCCTGTAAGTAGACGAAGATGTGGGCGATTGACTATAGAGCTTTGGCATAAACCGGTCGCCGATAGGAGCCCCCGTTACTCCAGCTACCATTATCGTCTTTTCAGCTGTCTGCCTTCTACGCAGTCTCCTTCGTTGTTTTCGAGAGTGTCATAATCCATCCCTCAATATCTGTTCGACTATTTTGTTCGTCTTAGTCTTCTCTATCGCATTATATCTCCTGAATTGGCCGGACGTTTGCTAGGGGCCAGGTTTCCGAGTTTGTTGAAAGAATCTCTGTAAAACGTTACTTACGCAATGTCCAAATACTGGGAACATGTGTTGACTTACTGTTGATAATCTGCATCACGTACAGTCTATCCGTTAATCCATCCCACCACCCAAGAAGTAGTGGGTATCTCTCAAAGACATTGATCTCAAAGAGAGAGTCATCGCCCAAGATGACGTGAAAGCCGACATTGTCAAAGACAGGGAATTCCAATATGTGAGGAGTTCCTTCACCGGCGAAAGCCCATTCTATATCTCTGACGATCGATTGTGTTATGGAGCCCTCCACGCGACGAACTACCACTTGAGTGTCGAGATCTATGTCCACTTGAATGTTCCCCCCCAAGACTAGCTGGCGAGACAAGATATCGGCGCTTGGTAAAGATATCGAACTTGTGCGGGAACTCCGCACCCAAGATCAAGTCGCGCGGGCAGTCCTGAATGACCTCCATCGTCAGCGTCTTGGTAGATCGTCTACACTCAGGTTTTAGCCAGTCGTCGTAGTCTGTTTCGGAATCATTTGAATCGGAGTCGATGTCGGGTGTCTCGAAGTCACCTATATCAACCCAGAACCTGCGTGGGACCCAGGACCTGCGTAGCCATGACGTTCCAAGCCATCGGCGTTTCACCTGATGCTTCGAAAGCCACCGTTGTTCGCCCTCATACTGGAAAGGGCATGTTATCGTTCCTAGGGAGATGATGTAACCTCCTGGAACTGGAATTCTCTTATGTCGTTTGTACCTGTGGATAGGCAATCCAATGCTTTCTACCAAATTCGACGATACTGCGTTGCATCCGGCGCGAGTGTCCATGTATGCTTTCACACCAATATATTGAAGTTTTCCAGGTCGCGTTGGATCGTAGCACTTGGCTTGAGGGTCTATAGGCAATGCGGCCACAAAATGTGGACGAGGTCGAGGGCGAAGTCGAGAACATTCATAATATGATAGACCCATGTTTGTCTTGTCGTGTCAAAAGGTTGTATTTTAGTGAAGAGAAAGTGGTGTCAGGAGGAGAAGAAGAGCCGCTGTGGGAGGATGCCGAGCTGCGGTAAGGTTTAAGAAAGAGAAAGGGTGAGAGAGCCGATCATTCATGAACGAATTGGAGCTGTGGCAGTGGAGCTGCCACATACCCTCAATCCATTCGAACGTCTGACCCAATGTGTCTCCCCCCGATTGGCCCTGAGACGTCGTGGAAGTTGGCCAGTGCATCCCCTCGAGCAGTCGTTGGGTAAGCCATAGCAGCTTACAAGTAAGTGGCCCTGGTTGGAACACGAAAATAAAGATGACAGCTCTCTTGAAGCCACAAAAATCTTCCGTTCAGAGGTCGTGTGGACAGTGTGAATAGGATGTATCACGTGCATCTGAGGGACCACTTTTCCCTCGGTACAGAAAGGCATATCTGAATCTTCCCCTGCAAGTCCGCGATGGTGTTCTCGCACCCCTGCCTCCACGCCTGTTGCGTCTCGACTAAATCATCCGTATACGGAGCGATAATGGTCCTCATCTGCACCGCCATCTCGATCGATGCGTGCAGCCGAGTGATTGGTGGGGGATTAGGAGGGGCACACTTCTTTTGGATCCAATCTCGCGATCTTGGATTAAGAATCCCAACTTAAAATTCCCCACGGGTTTTACCGCGGTATACCACTCTATTTGGTTATACTATTTTTAGAATTTTGGCGCGGTTATCACATTTAATGCGCCTGAAAGCTTAAAGTGATTTTGGAGCCTCTATTTATATTTACCCGATATAAACAGTTTTAGTAGCTACTAAAGTAATCCCTTAAGAGGATATCTGCTTAAGGACCAGATTTCCCTTGCAATACTTTAAATTCCTTAGTAATAATAGGCTTTCTATTTAAGTAGTACTTAGAAACCTAGACTAGTGCCTTTGGATTTCCTAATATATAAATATATAAGAAATCTCGGTATTAATAAAATATTGAAATTTCAAAACATTTCCCGTAAACTCGCCTAGTTCGAAAAACAAGCTAGCTCGGAACTTTCTCTCCTATAGACTTATAAATAAGCAAAGATACCTAGCATATATTAGATGCCTTAATAATTATCCCGCCCCTGCCTTTAAACCCTTTTTTCCCTTATTTCTATCTTTAGTCTACTATCTTCTCTTTCTATAACTTTATTTCCAGGTCAAGATATTCTCTCTTTCTATATCTCCCTTCTCAGTCTATAGTAGCTGCTTCTATAAAGCAATAACCTATATAATCTCTATCCCGGCCTTCTAGTCCTGCCTGCTCTTTAATTCCAACTACTACCTACTAAAACAACTATTTGGTATTTAGACTAAAGTAGCTATATATTTACTAATTACTATAATTTTTATTATTAGATCTCGGGATATAATTATTTAGGCTTGGTTTATTTACTTATAGTAATAGGCAACTTTCTTTTTTCTAGCCTATAATACAAGTTCTAACTCAAATATAAATAAAGAATATATTACTCTAAAGATAATAATAGAAGTTCTTTACTAGAGTAAGAAATTAGAAAAAGTAATATATATTAAAGTTTTTAATAGCTCTAAATAGATATATAAAACGTTTTATAGGTATTACGAAATACTATTAAACTTCTTATATTCGGGCCTTAGTAATAAGATAAGTAAAGAAGAGAACTAGAGCTTATATTTCAATATTATATTAGAAATACTTAAGAAAGAAAATATAGAGATAGAGGAAATAAGATCTAGAAAGCGGGGGTAGCTTAATAATAGAATTAGGTAAATAAAGCAAGTTTTTAATAAAGGAAAAAAGAGCCTAAATATTAAAAAAATTAATATAATATAAAAAGTAAAATAATATATTTTTATAGAATAATATAGAAAACCTTTATTTAAATTCTCTTTATTTAAGGTTCTAGTAATAAATATATATCTTATAATCTCGGAATAAGTTAATATTTTAGCTAAGAGATATTTTTCTTACTTTCTTAAAAACCTTAAATATAGCTCTTGCTTTATTAAAAGCCTATTTTACTTTATTTAATAGCTCTAATATATAATTCTTAAGTTCTTTCTTACTAAAAATAATATATAATTTCTTTATAATTAAAATATATCTTAGTATTTTAATATATAATCTTTTACTATTTTCTAAGCAAATAATTAACTTATAATTCTTTATAGCCTATTAGTTATTTTGGCTAATATAATTAAATATAATTTATATATTTCTCTAATATTTTATTTCTAATATTTCTAGATTTAAATACAAGTATTTATAAAGTTATATTTTAAAACTATAATAGAAAATAATATAATCTAGCTTATTATATAACAGGAAAAGAACTTTTTTATAAACTTTTAAAATTCTTAATTTTAAGAAATTAGAAAAATTCAAACTTATTAAATTATTTTAAAACTAACTAAATATTATAATAATATATAATTCTTTAAGAATTGATTTTTTAGAAAACTAAGAGCCTTTTTTATAGCTACTAGTAATAATATTTACTAGATTATCTTTTATTTTAATATTAAACTAAAATTAAAATTTTAGATAAATCTTCTTAATATAGATATTTATATAAGTATAATATTAATATAATAACTAATAGAGTTTACTAAAAATAAGATAGTTAGATATTATAATTATAAATAAAATACTTCTTTACTAGATTCTATATTTATAATATAATTAAAGCTATTAAAATATAAATATTCTAGCTATTTTATTATAAATAGTTTTAGAATATTATAAGTTATAATTCTAATATTCGAGATAATAAAACTATAAAATATAAATATAAATAGTATTTATAATAAAATATTATATAGATTTTTATTTAGTTTTATTAGATCTTTACTTCTAATAAAAAACTTCTAAAATAAACTAAATTATTCTTTTAAATTCAGAATTTATATATTAGAGAAAACGAATAAAATAAAATATATATAGTAATAAAATTCGCTATTAATAAGCTATAAGAAATAGGTTATTTTAATATCTAAAAGAAAACTATTAGAATAATATTCGAGTTTTATTATAAAGTTATTTAAATATAAAAAACTTTTATTATTATAATATATATAATTAAGTTTAATAGTATAAAAAAAAACTTCAAAAGCTATTCGAAATAAGGCTCGATATAATAGTAAGAATTAGTAGAGCTTATAACTAGTAAAACTTAAATAAATCTAGAAAAGAATTTTATTTGAA